GGGTTTTAGAAATCTAGTTTCCAGGAAAAAGACAAAGACGAACACCAAATTGAAGATATAGGTCCAGTTAGAGAAAACATAGAGATAGTCAGAGAGAGAGAGTGAAATGAAGGAGGATGATCCTCGAGCTAAAGAAGAATACTGTTACAACTTTTCATGCAGAAGGCAGACATATTGGACCTTGAGGTTGAGGCTGTTAAATTTCAAACTTTTGGAGTAATTTTAATAAAATCTTGATATTTGTGCAAATTAAACCAACCGTAAGTGCTCACCAAATAGATTTTCCCTGATATTTTCAACATTCGCAACATACTGGAACAACTCTCTCAAACAGCGACGGGACACATTTTCAGCATGGCCGATCCTGCTTCAAGTTCTTGACAACAAGGCTGTGCTTCTGAGCGCCAGCTATGGATATACTGCCATCAGTTTGAAAAGTCAAGAAAAAAAAACAAAGGCACTAAAAATTGAACATCTGACCAACAAATTCTTCACATAAATCTTTAAATATTACAGTTAAGTGAATGTGTGCATGTAATATTACAGCACATGTCGAATCAGACAACTCAGTTGTATAAATATGTTCGAATACATGTGGAAAATGAGTGTTTCTAAGTAGCTAAACCAAACTTCACTCCCATTTTATTGCAGTCTGAAAGCCAGGGAGGGTAAAGTTTTACACTATGGGTATCCCTTGAGCATAAATTTTTAATGCGTGCTGTAATGATCTGCATCTTCTCGGGTAAAAGACTTCTAAACTACTGAGAAACCACAGATATGTCAATATTTTTAAGCCGATGGTATGTGTATCAGTATTTCTTGGTTAAGAGAGTCTAGTTTCATGCACATTTTGTCATTGAATCCTGTGTTAAGATTAGTAATAGTTGTGCTCAGTGCCCAGGCTAACAGACATTAGCGATACGTGCTGATGGGTTAAAACCATTTGAAAGGTTATATTTTAGATAAATCTAGACAAATTTTGCATTAAAATTTAACACCACTGGGACTTTCACTAAGATGCACACAGGGACAAATTGAAATCCAGATTTAATGCTCAGCATAAAATATTTTAGCACCTCAATATGATTTTTGGGACTCAAACTAAATTACAAGCTTTCATATTAACCTAAATCCAAGTATTTACAATGTCAGTTTTGGCTGTTCTGCATTTATTCATCCCTTCCTCGTGCACCTGATGATTCCTTGAGCTAGTTACATCATGCATTTCACCTGTTAAGCTGGAACAAGAGAACCACAAGGTGCTGTTTTTAATAAGTAGAGCTCAGTTTTACGGTCCAAAGGAGCCTAACCTGGAGCAGTCCAGCTGCACAAATAAAGAAATGGCATCATCATTATGACTCACCAAAAAGGCTTTTCAGGCGTTCGAATGCAGGGAAACCGGGGGGACAGGAGAGAAGATTGGAGGGAGATCCAGGAGGGTGTACTTGTATAAAAAAACAACCTTAGTTCAAACAGTCCAAGTATTTGCACTCTCCACGCCTGAAATTAATCAAACCAAAGCTGAGTTAATTCACAGCTGTTTGGCTGGAAAACTCAATTTTAACATGCAAGTGGGATTGTTTCTGCTTGTCAGGAATAAATAAGTAAAGTCACAAAGTCAACTTGGGGGATCTGTTTTAGCTGAACCCGTGCAGGGTTTGCCAAGGCTTTGTGATTTGTTGGTGCATAATTCACATTGTTTGGGGGACCATGGCATGGGAGAGTTGGGGAACCCCTGGTATGGACATGCTTTCTGCCTGCCTCAGACAGCTGCTACTAAAAGCTATCCATGTTGTTTGGACGCCCAACAGCCTGGAAGTGGATTAGTTGAAGCAAAGTGCCACCATTGCTGTCTGAGTTGTTTTCCATATGAACAAACACGCCCACAAATGTCTGACCCCTCACACAACACTCGGCACATTCACCTGTGGGAGAAAGTTTGGTCCGGGCCTTTTGTTGAGAAGAGGCGGGTGAAGCTGCTCTGCCAAGAAAATGACGCAGTTTTGGTCACGCAACTATGTCAATGAAAGCTGATTTCACAGCTTCAGATAGAGAATGTAGGGACCATTATCTCATAGCTACTGGTTATCCAAACACACACATGTGTACAGCCTACAAGAATGCAGAGGTACGTAAGCAAACCAACATGTTTTTAGGATTGTTGGCGTCAGTGAGGCAGACTTTCTCCTTTTTTAATTGTCTCTATTAATTAGTTATTCCATTAAAAATTCTTCAAAGTGAAATCATCCTCTTCCTGTGGGCGCCTGAGTTTGTGTTTATCTGTACATGCAGTGGAAAAATCTTTTGTTTTATTTTGGTTAAAAAAATTTTTATGTATGTGTGTGTGTGTGGGGGTGGGTGTTTGCATAAATAATAATAATAATAATAATAATAATAATAATAATAATAATAATAATAATAATAATAATAATAATAATAATAATAATAATAATAATAATAATAATCATTTTATTTGAAAAGTGCCTTTCAGGACACCCAAGGACACTTACAGCATTAGACACATCATTGAAGAATGTGTGGAAATACAGTTATAGACAAGCTGGCATGAGTTACAGAGCATTGTTTACAAATGAAGTTAAGATGGATACGCTAATCTAAAGAGATGTGTTTTCAAAGCAGACTTGAACACAGGAAGAGAGGTGGTGTTTCTAAGGTCAGGTGGTAGAGCAGGGGTGTCAAACTCCAGTCCTCGAGGGCCGCTATCCTGCATGTTTTAGAGGTTTTCCAGCTCCAACACACCTGATTCAGTGATTGAATTAACTCTTCAAATTGGGCAGAAGCCTGTTAATCACCCAGCGATCAAAATCAGGTGTGTTGGAGCAAGAAAACCTCTAAAACATGCAGGATAGCGGCCCTCGAGGATAGGAGTTTGACACCCCTGTGGTAGAGAGTTCCAGAGGACTGGTGAAGAACAGGTGAAAGCCCTGCTCCCCATGTTGGAGAGGTGGGCAGTGGGTACTTGGAGGTTTAGGTAAGAAGAGGATCTGAGAGAGCGGGAGGGGATGGAGATGTGTACGAGGTCGGACATGTCAGGAGGGGCAAGATGGTGGATAGCTTTAAACGTGAAAAGAAGAATTTTGAAGACGATGCGTGATTTGACCYGGAGCCAGTGGAGCTGCTGCAGGACTGGGGTGATGTGGTTATGGGAGGAGGTTTGGCTGATGACACGTGCAGCTGAGTTCTGGACCATCTGAAGCTTATGGAGGGATTTGTTGGGGAGGCCAATGAGAAGAGAGTTGCAATAATCGATCTGTGAAGTCACAAGACTGTGGAAAAGGATTTCTGGTGGTGATTTCTGGTTTCTGGTGACATTTGTGGACAACTGGTGCATTTGGGGACAAAAGTCGAGTCCCCATTTGGTTTAAATGCCATTGGTGGGTTGGGGGTTGGGTTTAGGTTAGTTTTACGGTCAGGTAGGTACCTGTGAGGTTAGCCTTAGGGCAGGGCTATTCAACTAAATCGCTCTGGGACCCACAGTTACTGCAGGTCAACAGCTGAGGGGCCAAACATCCAGCAATTAAAGTTATTATGTAAATAAATCAAGTATTACAAAGATCTGTTACCTTTGAATTAGTTTATTTTGCTGCATTTAATCATGAAAACAACATACAGAACCCTATAAAAGTAGTGATAATTAAACATTATCAAAAACAAAAGAACACATTCTGCCTCCTATTTGACACAAATAATATTTTGACATCTCTGACTTGCCAAATTTTTAAACCAATTTTATTTTCACTTTCATCTTTTTATCTTCAACTGCTTGTAGTTTTAACTGTCTTGGATGTTCATAGAAATGTTTTTACCAGCTTCTAGCCAAGATTCTGATGTTTATGTAAATACCAAACATGTCTGTGTTTAACTAAAAGAACTTAAAGTAATTAAAGTAGAAAACCAGGGGTTTGGGCTGAAGAGATGAATGAACCAATTGACGGGACGAACTTTGGTCACTCGGCCCGCGGGCCGCCAGTTGAATAGCCCTGCCTCAGGGTTTGTGTCCAGGGTTAGGCTGTAGAAATGTAACAGAATTCAATGGAATGTCCCCAATTGGATAGCTGTGCAAATGTGTGTGTGTGTGTGTGTGTGTGTGTGTGTGTGTGTGTGTGTGTG